TACTAATCTGGGATTCCTGTCATTTTAGAGTTGGTCGAGATGTTGAGCTCTGCATGTTGATCTGACAATTTCTTAATTATATATCTCAATTATAAAGAACAATACAAGGAAAAAAGCAACAATAGCATATTTGATTTTGATTTAATATTTATCTAGGTATAATTTTACTACTTTCATCTCAATCAAGAAGCTACAAAGTTTCAGACTGTAGCATAGAAGAACTGAAGTTTTTACTCAGATTTCATATTCTAAAGGTGAAACCAACACAAACTTTTAAAATCTTCTAAAAATCAAATCTGACATTTAATTTTGTTCGCGGCATAGATGAATCTAAACATATGTGAAATATTCAAATTGGGTGTGCATGGCTGGTTTCCTGTTATTTAACTGAGCAGCTAGCAGGGGAATACATTTTCCATAGCATATCGAACATAAGAAATAGGCTGCTGGGTTGATTCTCTTATGCAGTGGAGAAAGATGGATAAAAAGAAAATAACTAAGATTACTTTAAATTTGAATAATCAGATTCATTTATAGATTATTACATATGATTGGACCTGTATACAAGATGCCTCCAGCTGCTAACATGAATTCAAAGTAGCAAATGGTTAAATGGAAAAAATAATATACAGGAGAAGACATCAGTTTTTTCTAGGATATTAAGAGTCAAAAGGTATATACAACTTTCAGCTGACATGCGTTTCTTATAATTTATTTAGCAGTATTAATCAAACTTTCTTAAAATGTTTAACCTATTTCTTCATTTCTAGAACAAGCTTAAATTTTTATTTATTATAAATGTAACTTTAAAAGGATTTTTTTTCAATTGTATAGTACAAATCAAGAATTACAACTACTTTAGCAGATAAATGGCTCAAGTGAATTCACAGATTTATACAATCAGATGAAGCTAATATTTAAAATGTTACACTATTTTACATAAAGTGCAGCCTAATCTCAGCTGTGATACATTACAGTAAAATTAAATCACTAATGGATTTTTTAACCCTTGCTGATTGTATTGGGTCATTGCCTTTGCAGGAAGTCCACTGAAGGAGTACAGGTGCTGGTCATAAAATTAGAATATCATGAAAAAGTAGATTGATTTCAGTAATTCCATTTAAAAAGTGAAACTTGTATATTATATTCATACATTACATACAAACTCATATATTTCAGATGTTTATTTTGTTTAATTTTGATGATTACAAATGACAACAAATGAAAATCTCAAATTCATCATATCAGAAAATTAGAATATTGTGAAAAGGTTCAAAATTGATGGTCCCTGGTGCCACACTCTAATCAGCTAATTAACTCAAACCACCTGCAAAAGCCTTTAAATGGTCTTTCAGTCTAGTTCTATAGGCTACACAATCATGGGGAAGACTGCTGACTTGACAGTTGTCCAAAAGACGACCATCGACACCTTGCACAAGGAGGGCAAGACACAAAAGGTCATCGCTAAAGAGGCTGGCTGTTCACAGAGCTCAGTGTCCAAGCACATTAATAGAGAGGCGAAGGGAAGGAAAAGATGTGGTCGAAAAAAGTGTACAAGCAAGAGAGATAACCGCACCCTGGAGAGGATTGTGAAACAAAACCCATTCAAAAATGTGGGGGAGATTCACAAAGAGTGGACTGCAGCTGGAGTGAGTGCTTCAAGAACCACCACACACAGACGTATGAAAGACATGGGTTTCTGCTGTCGCATTCCTTGTGTCAAGCCACTCTTGAACCACAGACAGCGTCAGAAGCGTCTTGCCTGGGCTAAAGAGAAACAGGACTGGACTGCTGGTGAGTGGTCCAAAGTCATGTTCTCTGATGAAAGTAAATTTTGCATTTCCTTTGGAAATCAAGGTCCCAGAGTCTGGAGGAAAAGAAGAGAGGCACTTCATCCACGTTGCTTGAAGTCCAGTGTAAAGTTTCCACAGTCAGTGATGGTTTGGGGTGCCATGTCATCTGCTGGTGTTGGTCCATTGTGTTTTCTGAGGTCCAGGGTCAACGCAGCCACATACCAGGAAGTTTTAGAGCACTTCATGCTTCCTGCAGCTGACCAACTTTTTGGAGATGCAGATTTCATTTTCCAACAGGACTTGGCACCTGCACACAGTGCCAAAGCTACCAGTACCTGGTTGAAGGACCATGGTATCCCTGTTCTTAATTGGCCAGCAAACTCTCCTGACCTTAACCCCATAGAAAATCTATGGGGTATTGTGAAGAAGAAGATGCAATACACCAGACCCAACAATTCAGAAGAGCTAAAAGCCACTATTAGAGCAACCTGGGCTATCATAACACCTGAGCAGTGCCACAGACTGATCGACTCCATGCCACGCCGCATTGCTGCAGTAATACAGGCCAAAGGAGGCCCAACTAAATACTGAGTGCTGTACATGCTCATACTTTTCATGTTCATACTTTTCAGTTGGCCAACATTTCTATAAATCCTTTGTTTTTATTGGTCTTCAGTAATATTCTAATTTTCTGATATGATGAATTTGAGATTTTCATTTGTTGTCATTTGTAATCATCAAAATTAAACAAAATAAACATCTGAAATATATGAGTTTGTATGTAATGTATGAATATAATATACAAGTTTCACTTTTTAAATGGAATTACTGAAATCAATCTACTTTTTCATGATATTCTAATTTTATGACCAGCACCTGTATGTGGTGGTGGTGTAAAGAAAACAAAATAAAGAACATTTGTGTCTTGTTTTGGAGAGAAACAGTTAAAAAGATAAATTCCAAGCCAGTGGTGCTTTAGAACAAAGGCACACGATAGATGTAGTTAGTTGTATTAGAAGCTCTGTTCAAAAGAATGTGTAAGAGAGAGAAAATGTTAAACATAATGACAAAGCCAAGGTAGTTAGAAAACACTATAGACTCCAGGACAGGTGAACCTTATATAGGGGGCGCTGGGGCACCGCCCTCCCTGATAAGAAGAGAGAAACGTAAAATATATTTTTAGAAATTAACTCATAAATGTCAGTTTTACTCTCTAAAGTGTGTACCTATAAGCAAAACAAATTATATAAACTACATTTCCCTATCTACTGTCATTCATTTGTGGATTTCCACAGACAGACTCCTACAGTCTCTGTCTTGGGGCTGTGATCAGACTGCACTACATTTGCAGAGAACCTGTCAATCATGTACTATTGCTATTGCGTGTACATAGCAACCTGTCCAAGATAAGTCATTACAGTTCGGTCTCCGCCAGTCACGTGACATTTGTTGCTAAGACGCCATTTTAGGTGGAAATAAATATGCCAGGGGGTATGTCACAATAAACAAGTACAGTTAGGAGAAAAAAAACAAGCAATTATACAAACATATGCGCTGGGGAGTGTCATATATATATGTGTATGTATTATACAAATAAATATATCTTCTACAACATTAAGTTGTCTAGAATTTCTAGTTGTGAACAGATTGTTATGGTTTTTTGTGCTTTCTGATGAGAAGAAAGTTTAATTGTATGAAAATATTGTTTGACTTCTATTAAATAAGCTTTAAAGTCCGTTTTTTTTTTTTTAGAAATTTAAATTTATGCAAGTGAAATTTGGTCAACAAAACTAAAAGATTGATAAGGAAAGGTTTGGGAAACATTTTACTTTGCAGTTGAAAGCCAAATAAAATGTTTTTCCAATGAAGCTGAAAATTTTTCATAACATTTGAATTCACATAGTTACAAAAGTGTAACCAAAATGTCTTAGAGTATGGACACAACCAAAACAAATGTGTTACAGTTTCTGAGAGAAGATCACAAAAAGTGCAGTTCACAGGAATATCAGGTTTAAACTTTTTTAGGTAGTCTTTTATAGGATAAATCCTGTGAATGAGTTTGAATGAGACTTCTTTCACCTTGTTAGTGAGGAGAAAGTGATTAGGTAACAGCCATGTGTTTCCAGGAAACATCAGACACAAATCGGTTCCAATATGATAGAACAGCAGGAACAGACGCCACCTCTCTCTGCAAGAGGGATCTGATTGACTTATTGTTCTTATGAAGAGATGAGGTGAGACATATTTTGCCAACAGGAGAGTCCATGGGAGTCAGAGAGGGAGATGAAGAAGAATCGAGTCTTGGCCTCTGTCTATATAACATGCAGATCCCAGACGAAATAGCACCAAAAACCTTTGCGTATTCTCCAGAAGAAATAGGGAGGTCAAATTTAGAGAGAAATCCCTCATAACTCAATAATGTGCCATTGTCATCAAACAGTTGATCAACCAGAGTAATGTCATGCCTGAACCAAGAATCCAAGAACAATGATCTTTTCTTGTACAGGATGTCCTTATTGTTCCAAATAAAATACCGGTGAGGCCAAAAGTTGTGCTTGTAGATAAGTGACTGTGACAAAAAAGCCTGGCGGTGAAAATTAGAGAGATTGATGGGAAGTTTATGTACATCAAAATTACACACCAGGAAGAAGGTTAAACCCCCAAGTTTTGAAAAAATGTAATACGGAATAGTATTCCATATAGAAGTTTGAGATGCGAAGAACTGGCGAATCCAATTTATTTTGAATGTGTTATTTAAGGTGGAGAAAGATAAGCAGTTAAGCCCTCCATTTTCATATGAGTTAATTAAAGTAGATTTTGGAATGTAATGTATTCTATTCTTCCAAACAAAGTTAAAGAGCAATTTGTCTATTTCTTTTTCAGTGCCTTTATTAAGATCTAAAGCCTGAGCAGCATATGTGAGCCTAGAGATGCCTTCAGCTTTGCTAAGTAGAATACGACCTCTTAGTGAAAGATCCCTAACCAATCACTGATTAAGTTTCTTTTTAGCTTTTAGAATTAAAGGATCAAAATTTAAGGAGCTATGATTTTTTTGTTCTTTTGTAATGGTTATGCCTAAATAAACAACCTTGTTTTTAACTGGAATGCCTTCAATTGATGTCTCAGTGCACTCTTTAACTGCCATAATTTCACATTTTTTGAGATTCAAATGCAGACCAGAAGCTTTTGAGAAATTATTTAATTCTTGAATTGCTAATGAAACTTCATCCTTGTCCTTTAAGAACAGGGTAGTGTCATCAGCCAGTTGTGTTCGGATAAGTTCTTTTTCTGCAACAATTAACCCTTTCAGAGGACTGGTTTTAATATAATCTGCTAGAAGCTGAGCTACCAAAAGAAACAGGTAGGGGGAAACTGGACACCCCTGTCTGATTCCTCTGCTGATGTCAAATCTAGGAGAGGAGCCATTCCTTAATTTGATAGAACTGTTGGAAAAGGCGTAGTGTACCGCGCCCGAGGTAAACAATTGACGTCACTTGGCGGAGACCGAATGGCGAATGTAACGAACGAGATGCAGCTTCCACCAAATTCGGTGAGATCCTTATTTATCTACCCGTTTGCCAGAAGAACATCCCTGTTGTAGGGTAGGAAAATTTCATGTCATGGTTATTGTGACTGTGACGAATCCACCTCGTCACTTAAAACAACCTCTCTAACTTTGCGTGCCACACACACATTCCTGTTATACTGTGCTTGTGAGGACAAATTCAAATTCACTCGCGCTGAGCCCAGTAGCGGTCCATTAACTTAAAACACACAAGCTGTTCCTGGTTACCTGTTGGCGTATTGAGGGTGCACACTTAATATTTCAGTGGGGTTAGCCGTGTGTGTTTGTGTGTGTGTGTACGGGTTTATGCTACCGGGACTTGTCATCTTCAGTCTGGCTGCGTCTTTTATGGGTCATTAAATCTGTGTAAAGGAATTAAGTTTTAAAAATTATTTGCTTTTGCATATCAATTGTTTGTGGAGGTAATATATGGACAAAACTGATTTATGTGAAGAAATCAGAAATAAGAGAGCCTGAGGGTAGGGGCTTAAACTATTTAATGAGGGCTGTGGGAAGAAAAGCGGCCATTTTTGTTTTCTGTTTCTTTGTTACATTGCTGGTAACTGGAGAGAGGCTGAGGCCCAGAGTATCTTGTACATGTTTAGTTTCTGTTGCACCCTGTTTTGAGTTTTTGAGCTCAATAAATCACCAACACCGGTAACCCGACTGAGCCTGGATTCTTGGAGGCCAAAGAACCCCGTCACAGTGACCCAAATCATCACTGTTACTGTTATTATATAGTAAATTAAATCATTACTGTTAAATTGTATGTATTTTCCAATTGTTTTTTGAATTCTTATTCCGGATTAGTTGGAGACATACACTAGGCTATATCAGCCCCACCCAAAATATTTTTCACCAGCCGCCACTGCCTTATATGTAGAGAAAATGGAGAGAGCATAAGGTTAAATGTAGCAGTAAATATAGAGAGAAACAGGAGAATTTAGTAAGGAAGAAAGGTGGTCAGTATATCATCCAGTTACCTAAGCCAATAATAGTTTAACTATGGAGATCGGTCAGGATAATGGAGGCCACTCTGTCTAAATGGAATAAATTTACATACTGCTCTTTTAGGCATTTTATACCTCCTCCAGCTCCTCTTGGAGAAGTCTGAAGCACTCCCAGGCCAGCAGAGTGATATTGTCCCTCTATCATGTCCTGTGTTGTCCTCTATGCCTCCTCTTGGTGAAAAAATGTGTCTGAACATCTCTCATGGGAGGCATAAAGGGAGCATCCAAAAAAAATGTTCAAGCCACCTTAGCTGACACCTCTCAATGTAAAGGAGTAGTGACCCTACTCCGAGCCTCTCTCTAGTGACCGAGCTCCTCAACCTCTGTCCAAGGTAGTGCCCAGCCACGCCATGGAGCAAGCTCATTTGTGCCACTTGTATCTGGGATCTCCTTCTTATAGTCATGATCCAGATTTCCTGACCGTAGGTGAGGGTAGGAATGAACGCCGACTGGTAAATTCAAGATCTTTGCCTTTTTGCTCAGTTCTGTCTTACCTACAACAGACCAGTGCAGCATCTGCAGTATAGCAGCAGCCACGATGCTCTGTCTATCGAGCTATCGCTATATTCTCCCCCCACTTGTGAACAGGACCCCAAGATCCTTGAGCTCCTCCACTTGAGGCAGGAACCATCCTCTAACCTGAAGAGGACAAGCCCTCTTTTTCTGATCAAGAACCATGGCCTTGAATCTGGAGGAGCTGATCCCGGCCACTTCAGACAGCTGGGACAAAAACCTGCTCCTCCTGAAGCCAGGGTTCAACAATCAGCTGGACTCTCCTCTACATCAGGGTAGAATAGGCCTTCCGAGGTAAGCAGAGAAGTGTGATTCCACTAGAGTTGTAACACACCCTCGGGCCACCTATATTTTGCAGAGGAACCAATGTCCCAGTCTGCCAATCCAGGGAACTTCATTACTCGCACTGGCATGCCAAAACTGTCTGGCTTCCTCCTATTCCAGCGTATCCAGCTCAGCAAACGGTGATGAATGGTGGACAGCTCCGTCCCTCTCTTCATCTGAGTCTCAAAGTTATGAGGCCAATGGTCAGAAGCTAGGACTACAAAATCGATTATTGACCTCCAGCCCAGGGTATCCTGGTGCCAAGTGCACCATTTGACATTCTTATGCTTTCACATGGTGCTCATTATGGGCTTGCAAAGAAGTCCAACAACTCTTCGCAGGGATGCTAAGAAGGCCTGGTACTTCATACTGCCATTCGGCCCATAGGCTGATACAACCGTCAGAGACCTCTCGCCTACCCGAAACGGAGGTCTTTCACTATAAGTAAATGGAAAGATGAGACAACTGAGCTTGGGGCAGACAAGCATACCCATCCCCACCTTCTGCCTCTCCTTGCGGGCCAATCTAGAGAAGAAGTGACCCCAGTGCCTTTTAAGGAGCTGGGTTCCAGAGCCCGTGTTACACGTCGAGGTGAGCCCGACTATTTGTAGCTGGTATCACTCCACCTCGCGCACAAGCTGAGGCTACTTCTGCCCAAGCAAGGTGACATTCAATATCCCCAGAGATAGGCTAAGCTATGCACTGGTCCCTCAGGGTTGCTCCTGGTGGTGGTGGTTCACCAATAGGAAGGCCTCATGTGACTCCTTTGGGTTGGGCCCAGATGGGTCCCACAAGAAAGAACCAGACTACCAGGAGCCCACAGACAAACCCCAACCCCTGACCTTTCTCAGCGTGGGGTCCTTCCTCCACCATACCAAGAGTTGTCTTAATTTCTTCGCCATCATGGGGTTTATTGAGCTTCTCTTTGTCTAACCCATCACCCAGGTCCTGTCTGTCTTGACACACTCTACCAGGGGCATTGAAGTCCTGGACACAATAGCCTCTGGGATCATCCAGGCACAGTCACCACACCTAGTCTTCAAAAGAGGAGAGAGCTAAAACAACAAAGTAAAAAAATCTCCCTTTCACCTTTAGGAACCATCAGTAAACCTGCTTGCTGAAGATTGTAATAGTCCACTCTTGGATAAACAGATGTATTAATTTATACATGAAACACAAAGCATCATGAAGGCCAAAAAAAGAATCTTCCCTTGTCCTTTTTCATAAAGGATTTGTCCTTGTTCCAGGCTTTATTACTTTATTACTAGAGGTGGCTGACAAAGCAACTGCACTGAAAATGCTACGGTCAGTGGGATGTTTTGCTTAATTTTCTCCAAAGATGTTTTTGAGGTCTGTAAAGAGGAAGTGGAAACAATCTGTCACAGAGTTTCCTACAACTGATTTACCAGAGAAGGTTGCTGGGTGCAAGTCTGTTTATTTGTTATGAAGGGGTTCTTATTTCACTCATGAAACAAAACTACTGCATTAGGCAGAAGAATGTTGTTGCTACAATAGAATTGTATATGGAGATGCTCTCTTAAAAAAAAAAATTGCTCTTTCTTACAGGAGACAGACTATGAAGGGTATGTCTACGATAACAACAACTCTGTGATCTGTGATGCGGAAGAAGAGGTGCTGCAGACCTTCTACGCCAAGTTCTACCCCATTCTCTATACCCTCATCTTCCTGCTGGGTTTGGCAGGAAACGGCCTGATGATCGCCGTCCTCCTGAGGCGTGACCATCGGCTGCGCATCACTGAGATCTACTTGCTGCACCTCGCCCTCTCTGACCTCATGCTGATATTCACTCTGCCCTTTGATGTGATTGAGGGCATCACTGGCTACATATTTGGAAACTTTTTCTGTATGTTTAATGGAGTGTTAAGAAATCTGAACCTCCTGTGTGGAAGTTTCCTCCTGGCTTGGATTGGTTTTGACCGTTATTTGGCCATTGTCCATGCAATACCCAGCATGCAAAGTCGACGCCCGAAAAAAGTGCACCTGACGTGTGCTTCGCTTTGGTTCGTCTGTTTCCTATTAGCACTGCCCAACGCAGTCTTTCTCTCTGTTGCAAAGTACACAAACGACTCCTTGGCTGATTGTAATTATTACCGTTTTGAAACTCATGCCCACAACTGGGTTTTATTCAGAAGGGTTTTGAATCACCTAAGCTTTTTCCTTTCTCTGGCTGTCATGTGTTATTGTTACACTGCACTTGTCATCACCCTGTTTAAAAGTCAAAAAAGCCATGCCAAGAAAGCAGCCATCCGACTCGCTTTGCTCGTCACACTTGTGTTTTGTTTGTGCTGGCTGCCACACAACATCACCTCGCTGGTAAAAACTCTGATGGACCTGGAAATCATGACAGATATGTCCTGCTCATCCTGGACCTCGATCAACCAGGCCGACACTGTGACAATGAGCCTGGGCATCGCACACTGCTGCCTCAACCCTTTCCTCTATGCCTTTGTGGGGGTGCAGTTTCGGAACGAGCTCTTGCACCTTCTGTGTCGGCTGGGCTGCAATCGCCTCTGCTTACGTTTTATCAGAGTTCAAGACAGCAGAGGACCATCGTTTTCTGATGGAACAACATCGAACAGCATTATCATGCACTGAACAACAGGTTCGTCAAAGGAAAAAGTCCATACTGTTTTAATCATCACCAGTGTTTACATAATCCATGTTGGTTAGAAATAGGCTGATAACTGGGCCCCATAAGGGATTGGCTGGAAGATTGCTGATATTGGATTGTGGGAAAACTTTGTCAAAATAAAAACAAAAAATACACATATTTTCATTTCATACCCAGTTGAGATCTACAAAGGGTGGCCAAGTTGTTTCACCAATGAATTGTTTTTATTCAACCAAAACTGGTCCAGAGGCCTAATTAAAACAAACACTTGTCAGCCAGAGAAAAAATACCTTTTAACTCCTATACGTTTGTCGATTGGACTCTGAAACAGACAAAACTATTGAAATATCAGAATAGATAACAAAATTGAAAATTAGAGGTGTCCGATGAGATATTATCAGATATTGGTCTGTTAAAAACGATTAAAAACTACTATTACATCTACAATCTCTGACATTGAGATGCAGATGGAAAGACTGCATTTAAATTCTTTTAACTCATTGGTAAATATTACATGGATAAGTTGTCTAATAAATAACTATTCACTTTTTTTTTAATATATCACTTGATCCAACCTTTTCTAACATTCTGCAGAACAAAACAAGCAATAAAACCATGTGATTTATGATAAAATGTTATTGGGTTAATATCAGAGTTGGTCAATTCTCAAAAGTCTTATTGGAAACAAAAAGTTTTGGGACATTGAAAATTACATATTTATTCAGTGAATTTAATGTTACTCATTATAGATTACAATTGTTGCTCAATATTTTATATTTTATTTTAATCTCTGGGGAGTTTCAGGTCAATTTGGCCCTTTGTGCAGACATTTTTTACCTAGAACCCTTCCATTTCTCCTTCAAAAGTGCTAATATACCAATATATTACCTCTTTCTGCATTTGAATTATTGTATTTTTCTTTGTTGACAAAATGTATGTTGCTAATATGTACTGTATTTTTTGCTTGTGTTGTAGTTTAAAACATCTCAATAAAGGTTTTATTATATAAAACAATGAGGTTTATTGTCCTAAATAAACAAATCATATTTAGAGATATTCTATTTGTAGACTTTTATTAAAACAGTTAGACAGAACAACTGCAAACAATCACAAATTGCAACTTATATACAGCAACTATATATTATATATTCATATATAATTTATTTCTACAAGTTTTTTTAATTGGAGAAAAAAAATAAATCAATGATATTAAAACAAATAGAAATTTGAGGCACTCCTCTGACCGTCACCAAGCAAATACACAGATTTTGTTGAAATTTACACAATTTACAGTATTCTTTAGAAAATGGCTTCAAATTTATGGAACAGTGTTACAGTGCTTTTAAATTTGCCTTTTTTTTCTGTTTTTTTTTTTTTTTTTTTGGTTTTGTTTTTTTGTTTTTTTTAAATCAGCTTCAACCCAAAACCATAGAGATCATCACTCAAAAATATACAGGAATAGGAGTAAACAGAAAATTGGACATTTTGAGAAATTTATGTAAAGTTGAAGCTGGGTCAGAAAGGCATGTTGGCCATACCGCCAGAGCCGTAGCCGATCGGACTGTCCAGAGACATTCCCCGCTGTCTGAGAGACTGCTGGCCCATCATGCCAGCCTGAGCCTGTGGAGGCCCTACCATATGTCCCTGGTGTCCAAACGGTTCACCAGGGATCGACATGCTTCTTTGCTTAGCCTGCATCATCATAATGTTCTGCTGCGTCATTAAATTGTGCGAGTGCTGCTGTGGCGGCGCCATCATGCCCGGGTATGGGCCAGACGGATGGTGGTGAAGGTTATTGGCCATCATGGCTTGCTGTTGCTGCTGTGGCATCATCCCTGTCCTACCCATCATATGTCCAGGAGGACACACGGGGGCAATGCTACCAGACATCATAGCCCTTGAGCCGCCCTGAGGACCGCCTAGAATCTGTCGGATTCCTCCATGCGATGGGTGAGGGGAAAGCCGTTGTTCGGCCATGCTCTGCAGGCTGGCTAAATGTGGGTTGCATGAGGGTCCGCTGCTGTGTGGGGGGCCGGAGGAGGACAGCTGTTTGAGGAGCTGCTGTGGAGTATGCTGTTGGGAAGGGGGGCCGTGATGAGCGTTCTGATGCGGCTCGCTCTTAGGGAAGTACTGCAGAGTGCTGCTGGGCTTGTCAGACGGAATGATGCGGGACAGATCAAACTCTGGGATTCCAGTGTGAGTGGGTCGTATCACCTCGCTTAAATCCGGACCGTCGCCCAAGGGGAGAGAAAGGAAGGAGTCAGAGGGGTGAGGCGTGCGTTGGTGATGATGGCCTTTGTTAAGCATCTGTAATTGCTGATGTGGCAGAATATCTTCGTTGGACTGGGGGAAGTTCTGTGGCATTCCTCCAACTGGAGAATGCATGGGCCCGTGTGATGGAGGCTGCATGCGAGGGAAGCCTGCCGAGAGCGGTGAGCCACTGCTAGGGCCCATCACATCAGGTGCTCTTCTTCCCATAATAACAGAACTCATGGCTGGCATGCCCAGGTCCGGCCCTGAGGCATCATGGGACAAGTGCTGCTGAGTTTGGCCGACCAGTCCCATCGGGCTCTGAGGCTCATTCTGGGGCCCGATTGAGCCTTGACAGTTAAGTATTTGTGAAATCTGAGCATTTCCCATGTTTCCTAGAGACGAAAGAGAAAAAAATGAACAATAATGAATCCTAAAAGCTAATCTGATTTGCATCATACATATAGTTTGCGTGCATTAGACCAATCTGAAATTAGCAGATATTTATAAACTTGAAACTTTGATTCCAAATTTTAATTGAAAAACCAGTAAAAATCTTAAAAACCACGTTATTCATTTACAGTGAGGAAAATAAGTGTTTGAACACCCTGCTATTTTGCAACCACTTAGAAATCATGGAGGGGCCTGAATTTGCCCAGAAACCTGACTGATCGAGAGAAGATCTGTGTGGAGGAGTGGGCCAAAATCCCTCCTGCAGCGTGTGCAAGCCTGGTGAAAACTACCGTACAGGAAAAGTTTGACCTCTGTACTTGCAAAAAAAGGCTACTGTACCAAATGTTAATATTGATTCTCTCAGGTATTCAAATACTTATTTGCAGCTGAATCATACAAATAAACAGTTGACAAAAAATCACATATTGTGATTTCTCAATTTTTTCTTTTTTAGATTATGTCTCTCCAGTGGAAATGCACCTACAATGAGAATTTCAGACCCCTCCATATCTAAGTGGGAGAACTTGCAAAATAGCAGTGTTCAAATACTTCACTCACTGTTTACACCCTTTATGCTGATGCCCCCAAATAAACCCCAGTGTAAACACTTATAAATATAGTAAGTCTCCTTATTACATAGAACCAACCATAGCTTCATTTCATAGCATCTCTTTAGTTTGACACTTTATTAACTTGTACTTATGACCTGAAATGAAAATAATGAATAATATCAAATCTAATGAAAAACTATTTCCCAAGCTTTAAAGATTTAAAGATGGGTGACTTAGGCTGCATTCCCAAATAGAGTCTTATTTTTTTTTTCCGTTTCCAGTTGCCATTTATACTACTAATCAAATACTTCCCCCATTAGAACAGATCAGAACATCAAAGTACCTGATCACCTGAGAATGACGATGTTGCACATGAGCAGAGTTTATAGAGGTAATAATGGGGTTGAGTGTGACTTAGTTTAAAGAAACTGCCCCAATTAAGCATAAAAGTATTTCTGTTCAGCTAAATGCGTCCCAGTTTCCTGCCTGTAGAGTCTCATATTCTCCTTGGCTACAGTTACGTTGGACAACGATGATAAGCAGTATTATGCCCACATCGACAGCATTAAAACATACAATCTTGTTAAAAGCTCAAAACTAGAACCTGAATCTGACGTAAGGGTAGAAACAGATTAAATAAAGAATTGATATGAAAACAATAGGAAAGCTGCTACTGTTGATGTAAATAGTATCAATTTTGAATGCGGAAATCAGGAAATATCCTGTTTAACCAACTCTCTGACTTGTAATCAAGACTTCTAGCAGCGGTGGAGTTGAAATTGAAGACTTGGTAGTTGGGCATTTGACTTCCCAGGACAGATGGAAGGCACCATAATCATTTAAGTGAGGAGCGACGGGAGCTGACAGTATAGCACAAAAAAAACGGCAGATAATTATTAACAGCCTATAGCAGAGCAGTCAGTGGCTGCTGCAGAGAAGTCTGTGTGGATGCATATCGGGAGCAGGACAAATACAGCATTACGGTTCAGAAGGCAAAAATGCCTGGAAAACAAGACACATATCTGATTTAGTGATACATATGAAAGAGGCTAAAACCTGAGTTTTGTTTAGATGAAAATATACAAATTAGGCTGTTCAGACCTGATCAGAAAACAGGCTATGAGTCGGATTTGGTTCGCATTTCCCTGCACTGAACGTAGGCTAAGAGAAGTGTTCACCTAGTTGTGTGAAAAATGGAAAGGTTACAGAGCCTTTTCCACTGCAACAGGCTTTTTAAAAGCATTACTGAAGTGCGCTCTTAAATCCTTTTTTCCATTTTTCACGGTTTTATGCTGACAGCTCTGCAGGAGCAGAGAGGCTTGGATGCAGCCTCCCTGCTCCCGCTCGTCTCCTCCCTCCATGGACTTCACCATCTACAGTTCCTCTACATAATATAAAAATTTGCTCAGAATTTAGTCTTGAAATCAATTCTCTGTACCTGTAGACTGATTTGACGTTTGTCATTTATAAGATTTAAACTAAAAACATTTATGCTTTTAGTGTATACATCTAGTATGAGTTTACCTATTTATTATAATAAAAGCAAAAAAGCGTGTTAATTGGTGTTGACACGATGAGACAATAATTAACCAACAATTCTGGCCAGAGGTAGGTTAATAGAAAATTATATTTTAATTATCTAAACTTTTGTGCTTATGGATTCATTACAACTTGATAAAAGAAGGATTTAATCAACCATATAACTCTAGAGCCTTTCTAATACTATTTATATGTTAAAACAAAAAGGAGGTTTACCTTTTAGCACGAAAAAAATGTAACCTCAATCCATAGCCACTATAAAAATGGTTTAAAAAAAGGATAATAATGTTTAAGAACGGCCCGGTCATAAGCCACGCCCTAATCCACTTGATATCCTTTGGCAAGACTTCAAAATGCAATTCAAATTCAAGCTGATGTTATCCAGCCAATCAATGTAAAGAAAACTGTATGATATCAAATATCGAATATTTTCCTAGAGATCTATATAGAGTTTGAGGTATTAGTATCTAAACAAGCCTAGTTAGAACATGAAATCAGTTTGACTTCTCTTGCATAACCTGCTTTATTAATACAGCTTGGCATGAAAGCAACCACCCTGTGCCATAGCTGAGGTTGCTATATTAGCTATAGCTTTTCTGCATAATTGGCTTGTTAGGTTTATTCTTTACACATCATGTGCATTGTTTTTCTGTTAGCCAGATTAGACAGAGTAGAAGGCCTTCCTTCACATTGTGGATGTCACTGTGTGTATGGAGATCATCTAATCAGGACAGCCTTCGTGTCTTTAGAAATACACAGGATATGGGCACATCTTGGAGCTTGTCTGATAAAGGGGAGCCATCTGTAATTCTTGAGCATAGAGGCAAGATGCATACGGGTCAGGGCATTGATGGCGTGTCAGTGTCTGATACGGGCAGCTAAGCATCCACCTGATGCAACATAGACTCATGAGGTATAAGAAGGAGGAGATGACCTTGTTCGGGGCTCAATCTTTGCTGGGCGCTCGCTGACGTTTTTTTTTTGAGCCCACAGCTGTGCAAGCTCCAAGCATTTTCTCTGTCCTGTAACGACCTGATCTGGAATAAACTCTTAGGGCCGGATCTATCAAAGGTTTGCGTGTATTAAAACGTGAGCTATTTCACTGCGCACGCTAAAAAATGTACAAACTGATCTATCAACAGCGTGCTAAAAGGATTTGGTCTTTAAAACGTGCTAAATAGCGCCTCTTATCCATCTAGTACTTTTTCTGCAATGAATATGCAATATGGGGCGTTTACACGCAAAAGTGCGTCTTGTGGGAGGAGAACATGTAAATATGTTAATTTAGCACTCGCAAAGTGATTTATCAAACCTGAAAGCAATTTTGCTAACGGTATCTGACTCTATATTTAACACGTTTCAAAAGAAGGTGCAAATGGTCTGTATGCGTAATTGCGCACACATGGCAGCGGTTATTGTCGCAAGAAGGAGACATGGAAATGAAGCAAGGAGACGCAGAGAACGCATTTTTTCACTCCGTGTGAATATTTTTGGAATGAACGAGGAAAAACGATCATCAAACCATTTTGTTTATCCAGCATTGCCATTTTGGAGCTGCAATTCCAGTGATTTGCTCCTCACAGAGCCTCAGCTGTACTTGTTCCTCAATGCTGGTCAGAGGCATCTCATCTACTGTGCCCCCTCCTATTTTGTTCGCAGATGTTTTGTTATATGCCTGTTTTTCTTTGGTTTGCCTTCTAATATCCTGGTATCTTCTTTTTACTTCATCCACTGTTCGCAAGGTTTCACCAACAGCGTTTACTTTATTACAGATTTGTTCACATATAGCGTTCCTCTGTGTGACAGTCACACTTTTTTGCTGTAGCTCACTTAAATGTTTGTTGGCTTCATCCACCAACACCTCCATTTCCATGGGGTCGAATTTCCTTTTGCGCCTTCTGCTGTCCAAACTCGCCATGCCGCAAACCACAAAACGCGCAAAACCATCATTTAAATAGGGCGTCTCCAACAGTTTTGCACCTGCCACCAGTTACGCAATCGCTCTTGTTAAATCACCCGCAAACCATGGTTCAGCCCCTCGCGCAAAATTCCAGTTTGCGAGCGCAAATTACTGCACGCAAAATTGGATCTTGATAAATCCGGCCCTTACTTTTTTTCTCCTGTTTTTATAGTCCTTTCTTATATGGTTTTACCCAGTTTGAGTTAAGAGTAGTAAATAACTTGCTCCCAGGAAAAGAACTGGTAGGGAAGTCTCAAGGCGCAGCTGCTTTCAGGGGGACGTAACTTCCATATTAACAGGCTCCATAGATTTTTTATATGGTTTGGGTCAGGCCAGCACAGTGATACCAGGGTCATTAAAGCAGGCTTACATACTTCTACTACAGTAGGTAACAATTCCTGTTGGAAAACATCTTCACAAAGTCCATTAGTACAAAGTAGCCTTAGGTGCTCTAAAGTTGCCATATAAACACCTTTACCGACTTAAGGCTTGACAAAGCACCATGAACAAACTTCTGCAGATTAAATGTCTCCCTAAATAATCTTTTACTGGGAAAGGTTTGCATTGGACTCTCAAGCTAATTGGATTTCTCCAGAGTACTGAGTTAAACGTTAAATATCCTTTCACCAGAGGAAAAAACTCAGGACCACTGAGCGACGGTTGAGTCCCTTCACCTTAATCCAGGTTAAGAGATTTCTTGACATTGTCTCCTAGTCCTGAAGAGTCTGAACACAAGCACCAGTTACAGCCCATGTCGTAGTTACATCGGTGTGTAGCTACAACTGCTGCGCTTGTTCTACAATCCTGTCAAGCCTGTGTTTCTCCATGCTGCTTGTGCATTCAACACTTTAAATATATATTACACTAAATATGGTGTTGTTATACCTCCAATAGTGACACCAGATAGAAGAGGTCGATCTGGCATCATCTCGTCATCAGAAGTGGCGATAGTTTTGATTGCATCGTGGTACAGCGGGGTAGAACTGGGAACGGCATACTTGGACATCTGAGACATGATGAGAGACAAAGGATTCTGAGACGGTGGTGCTCCTGGGGAGGAAGTAAAGGGTATAGTGGCATTTACAGAGGTTGGTTGGCTAAGGGGGGTTGAACTGGAACTTCTTGGTGGGTGAGGCTGGCCTGCAAAGGATTAAAATCAAAGTTATTACTATAATATTAATAAATCATGCTGATGAGATCTCCGTCCTGCATTTAAGAGTACCTGTTTCCGTGGAGCTACTTCCTCCATTACCGACAGGCTTCCCACTGTTTGGACCACCCGGACTTGGAAGAGCTGCTTTAGGTGATGACCAACCTGGAGAACTCACAGCCATGGCAGGGGACTTGAGCTGTCCTGGAGATGCGGATGGAGAGTGCAACCCAAGGTTGGAAGACCCCATTATTTGAGGAGACTTCAAGGAAGAAGAGCAAGGAGTTCCTGCTCCAGACGCTGGAGGAAAAGTTGGGTGGTGCCCAGTGGAGGGCAGGGGGGACGTCAGTCCCGGAGCAGATGGAGAAGGCAAAAGAGGAGATGGCTCTTGATTGATGGATGGGGACTTCAGTTGGTGAGGAGGAGGCACTGATGGAGAAGTAAGGGGGTTAACGATGACCGACATTTCTGGGGCATTTCTTGAAGCGAGGTCAGCTCCCCTAAGGCCTTCGGGCTGAGGCATATGGCTAAGGCGAGACATAGCTCCAAGTTGATTGGGTCCAGGTTGCTCGGGTCCGAACATCTCGGGGCCAGGTTGCTGAAGAAAAGGCCCATCCATCTGTCCTTCAGAGAATGGACCTTGAGCAGGAAACTGGAAGGGGCCATCAGGCCCTGGCATCATTCCCTTATTCCCACCTCTTCCACTTTGTGGAGCATTGATTTCACCAGGCCCAAACATGTCACCCAACGGCCCTCCTCCTCCTTGGCCTCCTCTGAGCCTCTGTGACATCATCATTTGCTGCTGTTGCTGGAGATTCATCTGTTGGTTCATGCTCATTGGGATATTGCTCCCTAAAGGAGGATCAACTAGGTCCCTCATTGGATGACATGATCCAGGAGAGCCCATAATTTCCCTTGAGCCAGGAAAGTCCATGGGATCCACGCGACCAGCGGGGGGACCTCGCCCCATTACTAAATTGGGAAAGTCTGGGCTGCCAAAACCGTCCATCATTCTTGTACCCATATTCGCCTGTTGCTGCTGTTTAGCTAATCTGTCAAGTTCAAACCTGGAAACTGCCTGCATCTGTCGTTTTTCCATTATTCTAAACATCTCCTCACGAGTTAACAGCTCAGAATCCTCTTGAAACTGTTGGGAAGCTCCACCAGGGTAACAGCCATGAAAGGGTCCACCACCACTGATGTTGTTTGGCATGTCCTCCAACCATATCATCCCAGGACGTACGGGCCTCTGAGGTCCTAGACCCTCAGTTGATCCAGGGAAGCCCCCTCCACCAGGCTGCCCTCTTTGGATCTGCCCAAGAAACCGGGGGCCACGTGGGCCTTCTGGGTGAAGTTCAAACACTTTTCCATTCCCACCAATTCCCCTCCTCATCATATTACCAGGACCCCATTGCTGGTCTCCCAGCTTACTGTGGTAAGGAGGTGGGGGGCCTCTCATCATCATTGGGCCTCCATGCATGCCCACCTCAGGAATCATTCTAAAGTGCTGGGGGGGGCCAGGGTGCTCGATTTCCTGCTGCCGTCTCTTTTCTTGATAGTATTCTTCTTTAAGCTTTCTCCAAGCCATTTGTTCCCGTGTGAGGCCATCCGGTCCGATTAAGGGGCCCATGGTGTCTCCAGGTGAGTGCATCTGGTGTTGTGGGTGTGGTGGGAGGCTATGGTGGGAGTCTATATGAGGACTGTCCAGAACAGGTCCACCAAGAGACTGTGTTTGGGAGATCATGGACTGGAGGGGTTCTTCATACTTTTTCATCGCTCCCAGAGCAGCTGAGGGCAACATGCTACCACCACCACAGCTCCCAGTGGTGTTCGTACCAATCTCAGTGTCCTCAGTACCACTCCTCTCACTACTATTGTTTAAGATGGATGGGTTATTAGATCCGCTGCTTAAGCCTGCTGGACCTCCAGTGCGCAGAAACAGTCTCTCTATGTCCCTCAGAGTCTGTAAAGAGCGCTCTCTGTGTTCGAGCTGTTCTTTGGATAGACAATCTATGCTCCCACCACCACTCCTCTGGACTGCATCACTCTGTAGATGAGCAGACAGGATGCTGGAACTTCCAGATGGGGAAACAGCAGCGCTTGGAAGAGTCATAGTTCCCGCAGCATCTCCACTACCAGGATCTGAGCCTGCAGGCATGGATTTGAGTCCTCCATCTGTTCTTTGGGGGCCGCTGCTGTTACCCGGAGCCAAGGTAGGTCTGGTCTGACTTGATTCGCTGTCAGAGTGTCCAGCCGATGACGGCGTTCCCGCTGGAGGCAATGGGCCCCCGACTCCAGCAGAGGCTGGTCGGGGAGTTCCACTTTGGGATTTAGGCGTTCCAGTTAGTGGAGAGCAGCTGGAGTTAACCTTCTCAGGGAGATTAGAAAGCTTTCCTTGTGGGTAGCCCTGTAGAAGACAAAAATGATGAAACCAATCAAACAGGAAAACGACAACCCCATTAATATTAAACTGTTATCCTTATAGAACAGAAATAGAACAACAGATCCTGTTTAAAAAAATGAAGTGACATGCTATACTTGCAACCAAGTATGGCAGTGGTCCTGGAAGATCACTACTCTAGTGATCTGCTGGACTTTTCTCCCTGTTTAAAGGATGTTATTTTTTTCACTGTCAATGAATTGATGCAATTGCATTGGTTTTGGTTTCATCACCCCCCCCCCCCCCCCCCCCCCCCCCCCCCCAAACACCCAAAAAAAAAAAAAAAAAAAAATCTGTTTTCTTCCTTTTGGTCAAACACAGTTAAAAGAAATAGAAACAGGAACAAAGAATTTTTTGTGATAAAAATAGCTAAACCAATGCTAAACCATTCATCCATCCCAAACAGTCTGCACCTGCAGTCTTTACTTTGCAGGCGATATTTACCATTTCATGTTCTAACAAAGACACAAGTTTAAAAACAGGAGTCTCACCTGCTCCAACTTGGAGTTTGGAACGTTTTGCTGGTGAAACAGGAGGATGGATTCACTCTGTCCTTTTATCACTGCTTCAGCAGCGCTGTCAAAGGAATCAGCAAACATCCAAATGAACTGATAAATGTCTTAATGACCCTATTTATATATAAAATAAAATAAAAAAAAACACATGAACATCCCTCTTACCTGTTGGCGAGGCTGGTTGTGAAAACATAGACCACCTGCTGTGAAGGCTGCAGCAACTCTGCTTTGAGCCCTTGACCCGATCCCATAACCGCAGCCCCTGAATCAGACATGCGTACCGGAGGAAGGCGATCAGAGTGTCCCTGGAGAGGACCTAAGAAATTACTGGAAATTAGTTTGAATCTCAGCTGAAGAAGCATTAACTGATCCTGTTTGTTACAACTTTTTAACACTAGATGGAGCTATAACCAAACCAGAGGTTAAAGGGTAATCTGACATTGATTCTATATGTAGAGAACAGTAAAATGATCCATAATGGGAGTTTTGGAATGAAGAATTAGTATCATTCAGTACTATTGTTAGAATTACAGATGTGTTTAAGGGAATTTTACATTAAAGGAGACAGACTTACGTTGGGAGCTAGTGTGCAGCTTGTCTTCTTCATCCGTGTCTGGTCCAGAACACCATTCATCTCCACTGTAGGGCTGCTTCTTGGTCAGAACACAGCGACGTTTGCTGCGCATAACACCCTCTGAAAATAACACAGAGACATTGTTTTTAATTTTGTTTGTAATTTCAAGCATACACAGTTTACAGCTGGAGTACTATAAATAAAAAACATACTTTTATTTTATTATTAAGTTTCACTAGAGGTCAAATACTGTAATAAAATCAAATGAAATATCCAAAACCATTCAAAGTACGACACAACTTCTTTCCAAACATGTCTCCCACACAAAAAAGTTTCTAAAATGCAAAACTTTCAATAATGATGTGGATTCTTGAGGATCGTCTTGAACTTTGGACAACTAAAGGATTGTTTCTTCATCAAACCAGACAATATTTCAATCATCTATAAAAGGGAATGTGGGTGAGCCTCAAGAATGTAAACACAGATAGGAAGAACTAGAGAAACCTTCCTGAGAACACTTCTTGACTAGAAGAATTTGGTTTAAGTGGAGAAAAAAAACGGTTCCTGCCAGAACTAAAACAGGCAGGCAGTCAACCGCCAGATTTCAGGGGGTATTTGTAAATGATGTCTATTAGATTAAGAACCTGCTTTTATAAGACCATCTCTTTTTTGGGTTCTCTACAATCACAAAACCTTTGCTGCTGATCCACTGAAGGCCTCATTAAATCAGTAGTTTCCTGCTTGTGGATTATGCTTATACTCTGTACGGTCACTACAACAGCAGAAACACAGCTCTGCGAGGTAATCTTTGCACAGAAATAGGGTTGAAGCATCTCGTTTTATTAACAGCAAAAACACCTGGTTCTGTAACTGTTCGGCTTCCAGTTCCAATCCCCGCTCCATATGCTCAGTCACTACTCCCTACTAGCCTGCTGCCGGTGGTCGCAGGGCAGCAGTCGCTACAGTTTGCTTATCACCATCAGGGGTGTGGGGGGGGGAAAAAATCGATTTGGAGATATATTGTGATTTTCGGCTGTCCGCTAGAATATTGATTTTTTAATACCTAGCATAAACATTTTTACTTAAAACAATGAGAGAAAATGGGCTACCCCCCCAAAACACCAGACGTCATTTAGGCTACATTCAGACCGCAGTCTGAATTGACCCAAATCCGATTTTTTGGCCTTTATGCGACCTGTATCTGATCTTTTCATGTCAGTCTGAACAACACAGATCCAATTTTTTCCAATGCGACCCAGGCCACAGCTATGTGGTCCTGAATCCGATATGAATCTGATCTCTTTAAATGCGACCTGTTTCTGAACGGCCAGGTCACATTCATTCAACTTGAACGTCATTAATGCCCGACTAAGGTCACTATTCTGGGTCAATCATGGCTGACGATGATGCGGAGATTAGTATTTATGTTTAACAATCTTGGAAAGATTGAGTTTTTATGGTTGGGAAAGATCTCTAGACGCGCTCCGGCACTACCATCCATATTTACTTCCGTAAACACAGAGGACGCTGCTGTGCAGGCGGGACACTTGCGCTGTATGACTGCAGTTCACACAGGAGATCACATACAAGTCACATATATTTGAAAATGTGAACGGCAACGCAAAAAAAAAAAAAAAATAAAAAATCATATTTCACAAAAAAAAAAAATCGGAATTGAGCATTAAGGCCTGCAGTGTGAACGTAGCCTAAGAAATTGGTTTTTAGGCCAAATCTGGTCGGTCCGTCAGAGTTTTGATTTAGTCCAGAAATAGTTGTTGGAAATCAGGTTGTGTATAGTTTGTCTGATTTTGTCCCACTTTAGTCCAAAAAAAGACGTTATAAAACCCAGTTTTCAATCTCTTTTCAACAATCTGATAATTACGGCTTTTCATCCGTCACTTTTCAACCAAATGTAAAAGTTGCTTGGACAACAATCATTTCATCTTTACAACCAATTTTTGCTCGGTGGTTACCTCTGCACCATCACTCTGGCAGATTGGGCTGTGGAGCCCTTTTGTTGTGCGGGACTAGCACTATATCTGTAGTTGAGGCAATCATTGTGAAAGACACGGACTGACTAAAACCAAAAACCCCATGGATACCAAAATAAAGAAGTGACCAATAACTTCTGACGAGCATTTACAGACTTGCTTTTTTATCCATACATTTATTTTTGATAGCTGGCAAAATACCGCAATATATATATAGATATTGTATTATCGTGATAATATCGTATCATGGCCCAAGTATCGTGACACGTATCATAACACAAAACCCATGCCAAAACTCCCCCCTAATCATAGTCAGGGTGTGATTGGGTGAGGGATTGATTGTCAAACCTTTCCACAAGCTTTAAGTGCAGTCTTTGTCTCACCGGTAGCTATTTTATATCTAAAGATCTACCATGAGCATCAAGCCTGGACACAACTTACAAGAACAGATGTAAAAATACTACAAGTCTTTAAAAGTATCTAAATTGTCGGATTTTTGACCAAATATCTGAGTGTTTTTGCAGGTATTGTTCCTCCTCTCTAGAGCAGAACTAAAGACACAAACAAGATATTTTCCTCATTCTTGACAGCAGAGATAAAGAGGAGGCTTAAAAGAGCTGAACCAAGCTCAGCTGGGGTGGGTTGAAGACAGCAGAGAATCAACTTGTTCCAGACATCAAACTGGGAGGAGACCACGTGATGGAAGTATAATGTGTCATTTCTAAAGCAGGGGATTCCCCCCCGCTTTGTTTAGGCTGCCTGATTGAGCTGCGGCTTGGCAGGAAAATACAAGAGATCTGAAAACATTGAAATGTATGTATATTAGATGTACACATCCTGTAAAGAATGGCAGAACCGACTTTAAGTTTCAAAGCAACTGGAGTTTCTCAAAGGTTTTTATCATGTTTTTCTGAAAGGCTTTCTCTGTCCTTTGACTTCAGTAACTAGAAAATTACAACTTGTTGGAAAACAGAAAACTGAAAAAAAAAAAAAGTTTTAAAGCCAGGAGAGTAGAATCTGGCTTTTAACGGCCTACTGTTTTTATTGTATTCAGCCAATCAGATTGCAGCATATTAAAAATACCCTCTGTTAAGTTAATTCAATGATCATTGGAAGAAATAAGGGATGAACCAGTTTTGTCCAATATCAATACAAGACATGAGCATTACCATTATGTCCGATAATATTTTCTGATATCATAGCTTACTGGGTTCGGAAGAACCAAACCAGTGACATGATGCAGAGGCGCTGGTGGCTCCTTCAACTCGAACCTTGGTTTTACTGGGAATGCCCAAATCATTTTAAAACCTACTGATCGATCAGGGCAGTCGTCCAGTTTTTATCATCCGAGGCTAATTAACCAAATCAAGCCTGGTCTTCCTCACGGTGCCTTTCAAAGGTCATTTCATCCTTTTATCATTCCCAGATTGGACTTTTGTTTTACCGTTGTAGTTGGCAAATGTGGCTAATGTGAGCACATTAGCCACATTTTTTTCTTTTCACCAGTTGCTTAGTACTTTTAGAATTTTTAAAAAATTGTATTCTTGCTTTTAATAGTATAATGGTCTGAATCCTCCTCTCTTAATGCCTACATCCTGGTGGAGCTCTGCGATCAGGTCAAATGTCACTGGTGGCTCCTAAGACTCCATTCATGGCTAAGCGAGCCTCTAAACTTTCTGTACGGCCATCCAGCACTAAATGAGTCTAAATCTCTTGTAAAGAGTCATCTTTTTAAATTTGGTTTAAGCAAAGAGGCCAGTTATTGTTTGTTTTATTGCATTTATTGAAGGGTTTTGTTTTGCTGCTTTTAATGGATTTTATCTCATATTATAAGTCTGCTTTTTTTCTGCACTTTGGTTTTAAATCGCTCTATAAATAATGTTTAACAAGTGATTTATTTGCTCACTTCATGGACTTTCAGAGTTGTATGAGTTCCTAAGTTAAGTAGGAATCGGGATGAATGTTTATGTTACGGACTATTTGGAGGAGAAGAATATCATACTTGCATAAATTAATGGGAGAAGTGGTCTAGTGGTTAGGAGATAGAGCTTGGAATCCTGTGGTTCTTAGTTCGAGCCCCACTCCCACAGACTGCCACTCTGGGTCTCTGAGCAAAGACCCTTAACTACTGGAAAATCGCCCCAAAAATCGCAGCGTATGCCCGGCTTAACAACGGTGGCAGCCCGCTGCTCCCCAAGTGATGGGTTAAATGCAGAGATACATTTCTCCAATTTGAGATCATTTAAGGTCAATTATTATTATTATTACTCCCCCATAAATAAGCTTCCTAGTACTCTTTTTAAGACAAGCACTAATTTAAACATCATAATGGTTGGTAGGACTGAAAAAAATAACTTATTAATTATAAAATAATACATTAGTGATTGAAAGCTTAACTAGAGTAATGTATACAGACTAAAACATTTGCTAAAAGAATACATTTCTATAGGTATAACTGAGAAAGTCCTCAAGAATGTTTTAAAAGGAATAAACATTTTCCTTAATGGAATGGATCTAAAAAGAAATGAGAGGATATGAAAGACTTGCTTTTAATACTGTAAATAAAAGCAAATCAAATCAATCAATCAATAATATTTCCAAAGGATTTCTCCTCCTCCTTGATTTTTTTTTTTCTCACTGTACAACTTCAAAGTTCATTGGGATTTCTAAAAACGCGGCAAACATTTCTATAAAGATTAATCGATTTATAATAATAATCAGATAGCCAAAGATTCCTTAAAGAAGATTTTTACTAAATTAAACCCGGTGAAACTCAAACTTTTCCCCTTGTGGATAAAGAATATTGACAGACAACATTTTTTTATCATAAATGCGAAATGTTTTCACATTTTTTTTTTTTACAATCTTGATATAATTACTGCTCTAAGTGGGTTGCTCTGTAATAAAAAAGGCATATTTTAGAGTCTCTATGCTCCAGTTTATGATTATTGATTTAATAAAACAGCTAAATTAGTTGGTCATGATTAATCCGATTAATTGTTTCAGACCTAGACTCAACACTTTAGGGAAGCATTTATCTGCAGTTAAAGCAGAGAAATCTCTAGTATTTATCTACCAGCTTCCTTTGCCTAACAGCTTATACTCAGAAAGAATGAAGAGATTCTGATATCAATTTATTCTTTGACATCCGTTCTACTCTATGGGTATTTCCTGTTTGGTACCGTACCGGCTTGTTTTGTTTTTAATGACCGCCTTTGTGGAAAATGACCCGTGAAGTTGGACCAGCTAGTAGAGCGAGGTGCGCGAGAACGCTGGGACCCTTTATCCACCTGGATCCCCGCTCTTTTTAACCCTCATGTCCCTCTGTTTTCGTACAAACTCGCCCGCACTTCCTCACCGCCTTGGCCGTATCTAGACCCACAGCTAGATCCTGACTGGCCGTCTTACGCTGTGGCATGGAATAACGTAGCACAGACCATTCTCCAAAATTGGGCATAAATTAAACATTTCTACAACAAGCTCACTGAGACACACTGTTGCAGGAGGATAACTAGCCCTTTACTCTTAAACAAAGAGAACACAACATTAGTGATACTACCAAAAATGATCAATTCTATCATTTTTGATTTACCCAAATCTTCTCTCTCTTCCAATATTAAATGTCACCAACACTCTCTGACTTTTACCAATACAGTCACTACAATTTATTTCTTGTAGCTCGACCTCATCAACACATTGCGATCCTGAGTTGTGACTATTGTCCGTCCGTTTAGGGTTCTCACCCTGCTGGCTTCTTAGGCTACGTTCACACTGCAGGCCTTGATGATCAATTCCAATTGTTTTTGTGAAATCTGATTTTCTTTTGCGTTCCCGTTCATATTTCCAAATATTTGCGACTTGTATGTGATCTCCTGTGTTAACTGCAGTCATTCAACGCAAGTGTCCCACATGCGCAGTAGAGGACGCAATGACGTCACAGTCCAGCGTCCTCCGTGTTTACTGAAGTAAACATGGATGGTAGTGCCGGAGCGTATCTAGAGATCTTTTCCAACCATAAAAACTCAATCTTTCTAAGATGGTTAAACATAAATACTGCTCTCCACATCATCGTCCGCCATGGTTGTTATTTTTCTTGCAGCTTCTGCGTAGCAAGACGCATAATAGTGACCTTTGTCGGGAATAAATGATGTTCAGGTTGGATGAATGCGACCTGGCCGTTCAGACACAAGTCGCATTTGAAAAAATCTGATTCGTATTAAATTCAGGACCACATAGCTGTGGCTTGGGTCAGATTGGAAAAAAATCAGATCTGTGTTGCTCACATAGCCATGAAAAGATCAGATCCAGGTTGCATATGGGCAAAAAAATCGGATTTGGGTCACTTCAGTCTGCAGTGTGAACGTAGCCTTAGTCAGACTCATGTTGAATCAGTGTGCTTAAATACAGGTGAATATGTCAAGCTCCCACCAGCAGACAGAGAGAGCAACCTTTGAAGGGAGGAGCAAAGGAAAGATCCGATTCCCAAACTCTGCTCAGACAAACCAAACCAGGTGGTGGTCAGAGTGTGGCTCAGGATCGTCTCACTGGGGATGATCTGATATTATGTATATTAAGGAGTAGGGGTGAGAATTGGCATGTGTGTTGCAATAAGATACGTGTCACGATACTTGGATCACAAGATGATTTTATCACAATATTGCAATATCACTATATATAGGGATATTTTAACCAGTTATCAAAATTAAATGTATAGACAAAATAGCAGGTGCTGTATATGTTCATCAGAATCTATGTTGTTTGGGTTAGAATCAGACCACTGCTTCTACTGTGACCGCCTCAACTACAGAAATGGTGCTGCAGCACACAGCAAAAGGACTCCACAACACCATCTACAAGAGTTGGAGTGCAGAGATAGCCCATTTCCCCCTCATTGTTTTAGATAAAAAGGAGTTTTTTTTAATAAAATCGATATGAGGAATTGAAATATTGATATGATATTGGGGAGCTGAAAATCACTCTCTATCGCCAAATCTATCTTTTTCCCACACCCATATTAAGGCGAGAAGCAAACACCCCTTCTGATTTAAAAAACAGAAAAGAATGAGAAAGATATAGCGATCCACATTAGCTTAGATGTTAAAAAGAAAGAAAGAATCAAACCCCCTCATTACACAATTAACATCCCCTGTCACTTCAGGTTAACTGCCATTTTTGGTAGGTTTACAGTTGAGCTTGGTAAATAGTTGCTGTTTTTTTTTAGCATAACCATGATTTACATCCATGGCCTGAGTCTTTGTGATGCTCTCTGAGGTCTTCACAGAACAGCTGCATTTATGGACCTAATTTACCAATTATGGGGCATCTAAAGGTAAACAATTAGACTGGATTTAATCTGGGACTATGGGATTAAAGAGGGGTGTAAAGATACTTCAAGGCTGTCACACTTTATTTATTATCCAAAACAGGAATTGCATCCATTTTCTTTCCAGTTTCCTTTGTCATATAAAACGAAGATGAAAAATGTTGAAATTTGTGATGGAATTGTGACTAAACATGAAAAACTGTATAGAGAGACCAGCTTTGCTCAGTGTTACTGGGTGTGCTGTGGAGAGCTGCTACCTTTCTGAACACAAACTGGGTGGCTTTGCAACCACAGCTTGCAAATGTACAGTGAAAAAAGGAAGTTGCAATTACAAAGCAGAGCAGATGACAGCAGGAGGATTGTTTTTACTGCCAGAGAGACACTTTGACCTTTCACTACCTTTCTGTGCCGCCAGCAGACACCGACTGTTTATTTAGGAAGGTTAGGAACGTTCTGCAGGTTTAAGGTGAATCTGATGTTGGGCATGTGAGACTAGGAGCTGATATGTTCAAATGAGCCACCTCATCTTTTATGCCCTGCCGAGCTGAGACCACGCCTCTGCATCTGTGTTTTTTTTTTCTCAGGATGTGGATTTGCATACAGCACTCAAATCTGCTTTCACAGTCGTAGTTTGTGAAGGACCCGCCTCCCGTTTGGAGCCAAAGAAAGCAAGTCACCACATATTAGCATGATGTTGTTATAAAGGGCAATGATCAGTGCAGCCGTCGAGGAAACCGGCATGAACAGATGTCCTCTGTAGCGATGAAAGCATGAGTGAGTGTGCGAGTATGTGCTGCAAAAGGAAGCTCGAGGAGTTTCACTGAACACGCCCCGTGTGATCCGCAGCCAAACTCTCACACACAGACCTGAACAAACAGCAGCAAACAGATGCAAATCCGACACTTTTCCAACAACAACATGAACATTAGGAAAAACTCATTGAATATCTCGAATGTGAAACATGACAGAAAGGGTTTAAAAGCCGAGGGGGGAAATTCTGAGGCTTCAGGGAAAGGTCAGGGCATTTCAGAGAGAGAAAAAACTAAGTCATCCGTCCTCTCAGTCCTTATATTCACTTCCTGCTGTGGAGGAGGCAAATGCACGTAATCTGGTGTTTCGGGTAAAGATTAGGTTGATAGGAAGTTAAAGGAAGTGTAAATGTAGAACTGAACCAACTGAGGTGTCTATAAAGTCTGAGGTGTTGATGAGACTCGTTTTATTCTTTACCCCCTTTGGCGTCCGGCTCCAGCGCCGGATTCGGAGCGCTACTTCTGGATTCGCCAGAGTCGATGGAGACCCCCCGCTCCCGCTTGGATTTGGTTTTCCCCATCCCTCCGCTCGCCGACTGGCCTGAGGCCTTTGCGCCCGGGTTGCCGAGGGAACCCTGGTTGGACTTGGCTCCATGGATGGAGGGAAGGCCTCCCTTCGTACCTCCCTGCTGCTGCACGCCTGGCATTTGGGACCGGCTGTCGCTGCTGACCTGCTTGCCATTGTTGGCCACTTTACTGTCCATGTGCATCTGAGTGGCCGAGGTGGACGCTTGGTGAGGAGAGCTGCAGCGCCTCTTAGTGGAGCTCACATTGCTCACAGGCTACACTAAAAGGAGAACAGAAACATCAGCACACTTCAACCTGAGGGATCACACAAGTCAAAACCTTTTCACCTACCTCATGTCACCTAGACGCTCAGCTGACATAGTGCCATGTTGCTCTACAGGGCGCCTCGCTGACCACGCACACACCTGGAGGACAATAGGAGAGTAATGTCATCAGATGAGGCAGATAGCAACCTTTACAGTCGCAGCTATCCGTCTGCGTCCTCGGCCTGAAGGTCAACATCAGCTTTATGTACAAAGACAAGAGAGAGGGGAGCGATAAGATGACAAGGCCGAGGAGCACAGCAAGGTGACTTGCCCTTTAAGGGAAACTGAGCCAAAAGTGACTCCAAGCTGGGGGAGGAGAGAGTTGCAACTCAAAAGTAGCTGAGCAGCGCTGATGGTCCCACCACCTGCAGAACACTGCAAACCACAAAAACTCCAGAGAGCGTTCAACAGCAGCCTCCCTCCGTCTGAGGCTCTGCCCCCCCCCACGCCGAGCTCCAACTGAGAGCCTTATTGTGACAGATTTGAGTCGAATCAGTCAGCTGAGTTGACCTCATCAGCAGTATCTACATTTGCTTTTAATCTGTTCTGCCTGCATGGAGAGGCCAGATGATAAGGACGTCTACATTCAGCTCTCAGCCGTTTACTGAGACAACCCAGAAAAGGGGAAATGTGTCTAAAAGGAGCCGGATTTGGTCTGTGTCCTCTACCGACGCTTCTGATTTAACCGTCGCCTCATAAAGAGTTCACATGCAGAAACCAGTTCTTCTTTCTTGGAGTCTATCCCATAAAACTTCAGCTGCGTGAGAAGAAGAAGAAAAAAAAAAGAAAACATGACAGCATTCTCATTTAACATCTGCAGGTCTCAACAAAACCCTCCCACACCTGTTTCTGGCAAACAATAGAGGGTCAGAACAGTTACCTCATCTAGCTGCGATAATCCACTCATATAATCCAAATCTGCTGTAAACATTTCCAGCGTCTTCACCGGTTCACCTTGACAGTAAACATGGAGCTGTAATTAGTCATTAACTAACAGCGGCTGGATTCTGCACAGAGGCGGCCTGTCGGTCGGCTGAGGGCTTCATCACTCATTAACTCAGACGGGGACAATCAGACGACGCTCCTGTTGACAAAGTGTGACTCACTTGCTTTGTGCAACGAGAGGAGAGAAGACGACTAATCACGAGCCGAGATGCTGACCTTCGAGTGGATGCTTATGGAAAGATAGGCCGCGCTAAGATGAATGCCAGACATGCGGCGGTGGAATCAGGTTCATGGACAGTTCTGCTGCTGATAACAAGGAAATCAAGGCGGCACAAAAGAAAGGAAAAGAAAATCAAAGGATTTAGACCAACGACGGTTTGAAATATAAAGGAGTTCAGGCTGAGCATGGCCTCCATTTAAAATCTAATTATTAAAACAGATGAAAACTCTGAAACATCTGTATCTCAAAAGCTCAATGATCACATGAAATACCCGCTCTCCTCTGTCTATTAAAACTTTTACAAGATAAACATAGATCCCAGCAACAAACTGTTTTATTGCTGCATTAGTTATATATTATGCAGTTTTTGTTCTTTAAAAAACAGATATTAGGTTATCTTTGGGATTATCGTTTTATGGGGCTAATAATGTCAAACACTTGCATTTTGGTCTCATGCTAATCTGTAAGTATACCGTAATGCAGAAACCAAAAGGAAAAAAAGATGATTTAATGTCAGATTTTCAGACATGAAACACCAATCAGCAAAGTTCACTAGGGGTGGAACGGTTCACAAAATCCACGGTCGGTTCGATTCACGGTTTCTGGTCACGGTTTTCGGTTCGATTTGATACATGTTGATTGTTACACCGAAATTCCATAAAAAATTATGAAATGAATGAAAAAATCCCCCCCAAAATAATGGATTGTAATTATTTTAAATCTTTTAAATTATTTTATTTTAAAACCCTGGATCATTTCCGTATGTTTTGCTGCTTTGAATTTAATCATCTGGCGCATGCTCTCTAACCTGACAACAACCAGATGCATGCATCTGGCTGTTGTCAGGTTACTGTACATGCTCTCTACCATCTCCAAGGAACTCAGAGGGGAGCAGACGAAGCCACAGTGGGGGCTGTAGGCTTTGCTTTGAGCAGCCGGTCTGGAGCGCAGCGGGGGTTGCTGACGGAGTATGAGGGATTTCGGGGTTAGCATGACATGTTGGTCATGTTGCTGTTAGCATAAACAAAACGTGTTGCACAATGCTTGCACACTGTTGCACTTTTATCCACAACTTTCTTTCCGTCGTCATCCTAGGTCACTCTAAATGCAAAGCGGTCCCATACAGCAGACCTATAAAGTGCTGCTGGCGCGTCTTCCAACTCCAGTTCTTTCCCACTCGCCAGTCCGACACAATTCTCCACAACAACTGATTTTTTCCCCTGATACACCCGGCTAAGCTGCTTCGCTTCTTCTTCTTCTTCTTTACTACTGGCGGTTGGCTTTGGTCGCAGTACCGCCACCTTCTGCTCTGGAGTGTAATCGCTTCCTCTATGAGAAAAAGGAGCAGCGCATGAACCGAACGAAACACACGTGAACCGAACCGAGACAGTCGAACCGAACGATTCTGACGGTTTTCATAAATCGTCCCATCCCTAAAGTTCACTGGTTTTATCTGAGCGCATGAAATTCCAACCTTAAAGGAATAGTACACCCAAAACATGATTAGCCTTCATTTTCTACTCACCCCCATGCTGAACAACACTCTGGAGTACTTTTTTGATATCTCAAATGCATCTGGAGATCTGGGAGGCTTCTTGCTGTCTGCTGACATTCAAATAATGGAGGTCTATGGTGCCCGAGGCAGAAAGGTCCATAAAAGTCCACAAAAAACGTGTCAATATTCCTCCATACTGCTCGTCCAATGTATTCCAAGTGTCCTGAGTGGGTAGCGTCCATAATTTACTCGAAACGAAGTCATTTAGAATGTTTTTAGAGCATAAACAGTAGTGTATAGGATTTCCTAAAAGCGCGTTCACGAGTCTACGGAAACCGCGGCAGACCAAACCAGATGAAAGTGCGCATTTGGGTGTACTATTCCTTTAACACCCAAAATACCTAATAAATTAGATCAAATTTCATGTTTTATTTGTTTGAGGAGCTTCAGCTTAACGCTCAACTTCTACAATTTTTATTTTATTTAAGACACATCTGTGGATGTTTTTTTATTTAAAACCCCTAATTTATTGCGTCCCAAATCATAAAAATATAATAAAAGCAGGAGAAATCAAGCAAGATATGCAAAACAATAGTATTAATAGGTTGAAGGAAGCATGGAAGTGGCAGTGTCATGCTTAGAGGGTATTTTGCAGTAGGAGGGACAGGAGCACCTCTCAAAGCAACCGTCCTGAGGAGCGATTATATTTGCATAATATATACGATAGTAATATCTGAATATATTAGCCAGGATGCTAGCAAATCTTTTGGAAATGCAGCTTCTGTTTCCTGCATTGTGAGGCAATAAAGGGTCTTTCTCTTCGATCACTCAGCCGCTAATAAAAGAACCTGTGGGCAGAGATGAAAAGGTGTGTGAGGGCAATGAGGCCTGCAACGCTGATCCAGTCACACCAGTTCTGTCAGGAGGAATGGGCCAAGATTCCAACGGTTGGTTAGAGGCTTGTGAGAAAAAAAGTGAAAATAGGACCTTGGGATGTAAACAAAAGCAATAAATGCGATACTAGAACTACAATAAAGACATCTGTAGTATTTACTTCTTTAGACAAAGCATCCTAATTTGTTGCTGTATGACCATCCAACAGGCTACATCTTACATTTTCATGTACAGCACCAGATCATTCATATATATATATATATATATATATATATATATATATTAGGGATGGAACGGTTTATGAAAACCGTCCGAACCGTTCGGTTTGACTGTCTCTGTTCGGTTCGCGTGTGTTGCGTTCAGTTCATGCGCTGCTCCATTTTCTCATAGGCAAAGCGTGTACACTCCAGAGCAGAAGGTGGCGGTACTGCGACCAAAGCCAACCACCAGTAGTAAACAAGAAGAAGAAGCGAAGCAGCGTAGCAGAAAAAAAATCAGTTGTTGTGGAGAATTGTGTGGGTATGGCGAGGGAAAGAACAGGAGTTGGAAGACGCGCCAGCAACACTTTATAGGTCTGCTGTATGGGAGCGCTTTGCATTTAGAGTGACCTATGATGACGGCGGAAAGAAAGTTGTGGATAAAAGTGCAACAGTGTGCAAGCATTGTGCAACATGTTTTGTTTATGCTAACAGCAACATGACCAACATGTCATGCTAACCCCGAAATCCCACATACTCCGTCAGCGCTCTGCTCCGCCCCGCTGCGCTCCAGACCGCCTGTGCTAAGCAAAGCGTACAGCCTCCGCTGTGGCTCCCGTCCGCTCCGCTCTGGGTTCCATGGAGATCGCAGGGGGCATGCGCGAGATGATTAAATTCAAAGCAGCAAAACATGAAATGATCCAGGATTTCCGCGGATTATTAAAAATAATTACAATTCATTAATTTTTTTGGATTTTTCACCGAAAACCGTGACCACAAAACCGTGAACCGAACCGTGGATTTTGTGAACCGTTCCACCCCTAATATATATATATATATATATGTATATGTATATGTATATGTATATGTATATGTATATATGTATATGTATATGTATATGTATATATATATATATATATATATATATATATATATATATATATATATATATATATATATATATATATATATATATATATATATATATATATATATATATATATAAATGAATAAAACTACTGATGAAGGACCCAGATGTCAAATTGAGATAAAGAAACAGAAAGCAGGAAATAAACAAAAATTTTTAGATATGTTTTTCTGTGGACATGTCCAGACATCTTTTCAATCAATATTTGAAATATCATTTTCACTTTGCACTGGAGAGGCCGAATGTGGACAGAACGTTGCTGAAACGGAGTCGATCAAAAGAATATGAGCTGGCAGCCATTTTGGCTCGGTAATGTAGGGAAATTAGTTTATAAAACAAACTGCTGTAGTCCAACGGAGCAATAATGTACTTCATCATTTCGCAACCAACCTGCAGGCCGTTTAATTTTTTTTTCTTAGC